GTCGTATTATTTATTAGGAGCGGGCGAGAGCAGTAATAATTAATAGTTAATAAACTACTTACCGGCGATGTCCTCGTGTTTCAGTAAAATTGCCGTCTCTCCTTTTTCCGCAAGAAGTTGGAGTCATCCGGTGGAGCAGCGAACGTCAAGTCCCGCTAAAATAAAGTAACCGATAAATTAATGACGCCGGAAGTATAAAAGTGGAGTAGAGGTCGAACACTTTTCTCACCGTTTCAAATGAGATTAGTTAATAACGGCTGGTCACCAATTACGCATTTAAATATCACTGACTCGCGTATCCTGTTAACCGATACGTGTATCGATACTTTCAACACTTGGAAAATACGAAAAGGATGCGAGTGGAGATCCTGCACGAGCGTGTTTCAAGAGGCGTCGCTCTCCTCTCCTTCTAAATTCAAGAGAGAAACAATTGAAATATGAAAATCATTTTTACGACAAAAAATTAACTCAAACAACAAAAAATCTAAATCGAGATGTAAGATGTCGAAAAGACATTTTGCGAGAATCTTCTAAAAGAATTCCAAAATTTATTTCTATCAATAGATTAACTTCGATCTCGGGTTTATTTAGTTATTTTTAGTTTATTTATCTTTTCTTAAAATTAGAAGATGATAAAAAATAAGTTAAACCAAGATTAAAGTTAATGTATGTTGATAGAAATGAATGTTTTTCATTTTCTGATGAACTTACGGTTAAACTTAACCAGGTAATGAAAAAATTTTATTTTTCTCGCTACGGTTAATCACAAAAAACTAATGATTTTTTTTTTAAGTTATCACTACAAGACTATCAGTCCATTAATTAACCGTAGCTGGAAATACACTTTTACATTATCATCAAATTAAGTCTAAACTACAAGTTAATCAGATAATAAAAAGCCAGACGTTAAAGACGTCTTATATCCTGATTTTAGATTTTGTGTTGTCTGTGAACACTCATTGACCAACGTCTGGCTTACATTAATATACCTTAACATATCTTTTACGTAAGTAGCTTAATAAATTTTGTATAAATTTATATCTCCCTCTACTAAAATTCTATTTAAAAAAAATTCTATTTACGACATGTCCTGCTACGATCAGTCAAAAATAATGCGAATACAGAAATGAATTAGAATCTTGAGTAACTGCATAATTCCAGAATGACTTAATTCCTGTAATTGAGACAATTACAGCCGCATCTGTACTTACGTCGATTATATCGTGCAAAAATCGTTTCGTTTACTTTACGTTATTCGATTGTTACGTCTTTCGTAATAGAGGATATCTTTAATTATTATTACTAAGTACTCTTTTATTAAATTGCAACGCGATAATTTCTCTCTCGTTTACAAAAATATATAGAATGGATGAATTGCATGATATAAATAGCATTCACGAATGAACGCGAGGATAAAAAGGAGCGATAGGTGTAATCTGTAATCAATGACTTTATGTAATAATGTCTATATTTATAAGTTAGGGTAATTATAGGCAAGCGTAAATGTACTGTCTATGCTATAAAATTTGAATTTAATTGAATTTGCTTCAAAGTTTTTAAAATACATTAGAGGTAAAAGAGAATATTAAAGAGAAAGATATAACAAGTGCTATTTATTTATATTAATCGATTATCACTTTATAATTAATTCCTTTTCATTTGGTTGTTAATTATCAATATCATATATCAAAATTGTAATATATTTACTTATAATTGTATTAATTATATTTATATTAATTATTGTTTTTATTTTGCAGGTAGTCACATTCTGCTCGAGAAATTACGAAAGTATAAGCCAAAAATTGCAGTATTCAACGGCAAACTCATATACGAAGTATTCTCGGGAAAGAAGGAATTTGGGTTTGGCAGACAACCGAACCTCGTCGAGGGTACCAATACGGTAAAATAGCTTACATTTTTCTTCATACTCTCGTACTGAAAAAATATTCTGCGTAACAGAATTCAAAAATATTCCTCGAGGAAAACCAGGAATTCTAAAATATTCGGACGTTTCACGCATCTTTACTTATTTTTTGTGTTACTCAGAATATTAGAAATGTAGGTCTGTTTTCTGTTTCTGCAGAAAAGCCTACACTAGAACTCTTTTTCTCGCTTTCGAGAAAATATCAGATCTTTCTCACTTTTTTTTCACTTTCAGTGAAAGATCTGATATTTCCAAAAATGTACAGCCACAGAAAACAGACCTCTGATACCTATAATTTCAGTGAATTCAGTGAGAATGTAAATCTCGGACAATATGTTGTCACAAATAAACAGAAATAATGTTCGCTACATTTGGCTATTATGCCACTTGGACTCAACAAAATTATTTTACAATAAGAATAATTCAACAGTAAAAAATACAATTAATGGCTGTAACAATTAAAGCTAAATGTTTCATGGTCAAATAATTCAATTACTATATATACTATATATATATATACTATGTAATTATTTTATATTTACTATACATATATGAAATTTTAATGTTTATAATTTTAATACATAATCATCTAGGCAAAATCCTCATTTCTCAATGTTGTGTATTGCAGTACATGTGGGTTATGCCCTCAAGCAGCGCGAGGTGTGCTCAACTACCACGTGCTGCTGACAAGGTGCCATATTACGCTGCTCTGAAGAAGTTCCGCGACTACCTGAACGGTACCATCACGCACTTGGACGAATCAGACATCGTATTCGCCGATTCAAAGCTCAAGAAGAAGGAACACGAAGCGATCGAGGATAAGAAGTCAGTGTTTACCGACGATTTGCCCGACGGTGAGAGCCGAATCACGGAGATCAACGGCATGGGAATTAAGCAGGAGACGGGCGTGATACCTGGCAAGAAGAAACGCGGAAGACCGAAAAAGATAAAAAATCCAGAGGATCAGCCACCGCCGGATCCTGAGAAGCTGGACGCGAACGGCGAGGTCATTAAAAAACGTCGCGGTCGTCCGAAAAAGATCCATCAACAGCAAAAGCAAATGGAGCGGGAGAATCGTGAGAGAGAGCAACAACAGCAACAGCATCAAGTGATGGGTCACTTGAACGACGGATACAGTAACGTGTCGAACTGCTTTTCGCCACCACTGATGTCACCTCCAAAGTTCCAGCATATGGCGCCGTACGCACCGACGATGAATGACGGCTTCTTCGGCCAGGGGATGAACGACAATAGCCCGTACAATATGAGCGCGAAGCAAAGCCCTGTGCATTTGCAGCAACATTACAGCCAGAGCCCCAAGTCCATGTCGCTGTCGTTCACGCACTCGGACTTATCGTCGGAAATCAATACTGCAATCTCGTCGGAGAACAATCTCGAGTCGTCGCCTTTGATGTCGCCTAGCGTCGAGCATCCGGATTTTGAACCGCCCACCAGCATGTCGCAGCAAAACATGGGCAACGATCATCGTCAGTATAATCCGGCTGGAGGGCCCGATCCGACGGGTCACCATGGCAGTCCTGGCACGCCGTCCCATAACAGCTACGCCAACTACATAGGTTACCACGAGCAGCCACCAGACGCTCATAATCCGCACCCGCATCAGACGACATCGACGCCTCTCAGCCAGACCGCCGAGGACCACTCCCATCATTCGCATCCAACGCCGCCGCATCCACACACGCCCACCCATACGTCCATGTCGCCGCACCATCCGCACGAGCAATACGGCATCAAGAGGAACTCTGGTCAGGACGTGGCGTCTAAGAGTCTGAGCGACCTAGAATCCCTCGTGGACCAGATCCCGAGCATAGCCGATGGCGGTAATCAGCGCCTGCAACATGCGCATCCGGGTATGCCGGGCGACGATAGCTTGGCGGAGAAGATGGACGCCCACCATCAGTCCTACATGTCCGGTTTCGGCGGCATGCCGGCTGGACCAGCTGGAATGGCCAATTACAGTCCACCGTTGCCGCCGGGTAGCGGAATCTATCCCTCCTCGCTACACCACTCTCCCACCGACGCTGGTTACGGAGGTTTATACGGTATGAACAGTCGTCATCATCAAGACTCTCAGCAGCAGCAGCAGCAGCAGCAGCAGCAACCACAACATCAACAGCAGCAGCAGCAACAACAACAACAGCAACAGCACAGCAAGTCCTACACGGTGGAAAACCTCGCGTCCAGTAACTACACCCCTAGCATGAATCACGGACACCCCAGCAACTCTTACCCCAACATCATAACCGGGCACTATCCGGTGCCGATGGGCTCGACCAATGGGTATCTGTTCGGAGGCCTCGAGACAAGCTTGATGCAGCGTACGTACGGAATTGGTGGGATGAGCGGCATGAGTAGCATGCATCCATCCGCCGCCCTCGGTCACCCGATGGCGGGTAATCCGTACCCGTACAACGGCTCGTACTCAAGCTCGTTCGATGCTTATCCAGCGCCACCGACGGGCATACACGCGCCCAGCGCCAACGGCGTCCAGCAGCACCACCACGCCGCCGTCCTACCTCGCACCGTCGCACCACAGACCGCCGGTTGACCTCTCCTATGACGGTGTATGATAATCGATGTGAGATACCGTTCGCCGACCCACCACTAGCCCCCGATGATCCTATCTCTTTCTCTCTCCATCTCCATCTCCATCCCGTCCCATCCTCACCGACCTCACCTCCGCCTGCCGCCGATCGCCTCCTGTGCGCGCGCGCGAGCGACGCACGTATCCGCCGCGTTTATCTTTTCTACGTATTTTTACACACGTCTTTTAAGACACGGCTCTCAACGTGTCGGGGTCGCACCGTCGCGCGTCGTCCCCCTCGAATCGCCGTTCCTTCATCCTCGTCATTTTCTCTCCTTAAATCGCCTCTCTCCGCGAAATCACCCTCCGCGAGATGCTATCTCCAATCTGCGCGCAATCTTTCGCTCTTTGTCGATCCATTTGCCGCACGATACTCTATTTCCTCTTTTTCACTCACCTTTGCTCAAGCCAGTTCTATGTACAAAGCACCCCAGAATTGGCGAAAAATGGATATACACATTTTTCCTCTCGCCGAGATAACATCGAGACTCTGATAGCAATAATGAACTATTATCCGAATTATTATTAGATAGTATATCTAATGCATTTTCTTTCAGATGGATACTACTTTAAGAATCTGAAGCTTAGTTCCTAAGATATTGAAACCGAGATTTGAAACATTGTGTGAAAAATGAAGATGCCCTTCCTAGCAAAAATAAAGCGTAAGACAAAAAAGGATGCAAGTCGAATGTAAAGGGAGAGTGATAGAAGCGTAAGCAAAGCGTCCTTAAGGAGATTGGAACAATGTAATGTGAGAGAAGCATTAAAATGCTTTACTCTTCTTTTACATTCTATTATTTCAATTTACGTTCCTCAAAATCGTTTGCTTACGTTTCTGTCACTATCTTAACGTTCGATTTCCGCTCCTTTTTATCTTATACTTTATTTTCGTCAGGAATTCGAGGCATGCATATTGTATTGTGTCTATATTGCGTCAATTTTGGGGCAGCCTATGCAACTGTCGGTCTTTCATTTCAATATCTCTCCACTCTTTCTCCCTTTATCCCGCTTCTACGTACTTCGTCGCCACATCTCTCTCGTACTCTATTTTTTTTTTATCACGCTCTCGATATGTGATTACGCCGTGAGTAATTACGGGCGCGCGGCTCGGGAACGGGAAAACCACTCGTGAAACGCGACTAGCGCACGCAACGAACGAGAATTGTAAGGGTAGATCAGGTTCGCCGATCGCGTTCTGTACCGATCCGATCGCTAAAATATACTTACACGGGCACGCACGTTCTGATAACCATAACGATAAATGACCTTAATACCGAACAGATCACGGATTACGAATTCGGCCGACGTAGCCAAGGTCGGGCAAACATATAATTACGCTATTCTTCTTTCCTACATCGATCAGGAAGTATCGATCACACTGATTGCTACGAGCATATCTACGAGCTTTAACCGAAACCATGTTTCCGTAAACTCTTTCGTATTTCGAAGGGCATTCAATATTGCAAATGGGATATACATCCTAATTTGTAATTGCAAATTGTTATCTTCGAAAGTCAATAAGAAACGACGCGTCATAAAGTAAAACACGAAGTCCGAAATATTACCGATTATATCGAAACAAGTATAATTTCGATGAATTCGAATTCTCGATGCATAGAAAATAATTCATTTATTAGATAATTAATTAATTTTATTGACTATTATATAACACATTTATTGTGCAATAATTATTGTACAGTGATTGATTTTTTACTTAAAATTTCTCTTATCTATCAATAATATTGTAATGTTCATGTATCATTTTATATAAAATATATAATATTACATAATATTATATATTTTATATATATATATATATATATATATAATATATTATTTTATATACTGATATTATATATTACAAAAATGACATGATAAAGAATAATATTATTTACTGAAAATAATGAGCGTGCAATAAGATTTTTGTGATAATATTATAAAAATGACTTTTTCGTGTCTATCAAAAATGGAGTTGATCGAATTTATATCGGTTTCGTTACGACAAAAAAAAACGCGCTATACGATTGTACGATTAGAATAATAGCATAGATCATTTACTTATCGTTTATGTATCGCATTGTGTCTTAATACCATTAGCCTGTTGTAATGTTATTAATGTGTTGCGTATTTGATTAATTAACACGTCAAATGCTGCACTTTATATGACGATGCAATTTCATGTCATCAGAATTGCTATTTTAATTTCTCTAAGAAATCGATGATTTGCTTCGTTTTACAACTTTACGTGATAGGACGCACGTAATATATTATTTGTTAGAAGCGATATTTATATACAATTTTTTCATTATTCAGCTTTTGACACAGAAATGATCGAAGAAATGATTATTTTGACAGAAGAAGAGAAATCCGCCAAAAGATTTATCTTTTATAAACTTGTAACTAAGGAGTCATCTCCTCTCGATGAGCAATCGTTCTCATTTCGATCGTGCACCGAGCCGAGCTTAATCGAATTGAAAGTTCCAAGTTCACGAGGAACTCTGTAGTTCGCTCGGTTGTGCCATAATGAGGTATCGTTGCTAATATAGCAAATTAGTCTAAGTAAAAGTGATAGAAGGGACGCACGTAAATAATTGTTGACCCATCGAAAAATTACCAAGCTCGGTTGTGAAATTACGATTTTACGTACCCTCTCACGTTTCTACGAGTCCGTGTTCGTTATCATACAGCATACAAAAGTTGAAATAAGAACGCGATCAATCGATTAGACATCCTTGCGTTCGAAGCATCATCGTTTCTGAACGCGCGAATCTGCATCGACCATTATCAGCGCGGTCGGATGTTTCTTAGCCCGAATAAAAGGTACCTATCATTTGTTTTGTTTATTCTTTTTCTTGCCACGCACAATGTTACAGATTAAATAATTTTCCAATTTCCATTTTTGTTATTTTCCACCGAAAAATCACATTCTCCTCATCGCACTCTAATGTGAGATGAGCGTGGAAAATGTCACCATATATTGCGCGTCGCTCTCGCGCTCGCAGCACGTGAGCTTTTTTTTAACAGAGTAAATATTAATCGTTATCGTCATTGTATCGTTAAGGTTACTGCACATAGCAAGGAAAAAAAAAATCAAGCCCGATTGCGTCGGTGCATCTTCAATCGTGGCACGACCACTTTCGTCAACGTTGGTCAAATTTAACCATAGTTTAATCCTTATCCGGGAAAAAAGGAACTATTTCTCGAACGCGACACTCAGAAGGAAAGTGTAAAAAAATGTTATATAAAAGTATCACGCGATTAAAAGTTTTCTTTGTATTCGTTTCCTCCCGCAATCGGATAAAGTGAATTTTGCATGAAAGAAATCGTTGAATTGTAGATGTAACTTAAACGTTATGCTAATTCAAGTACTGCACGTCATTTCCATTTAATATTTCGAGACTTTCGGATATTCTTGCGTTAAAAATTCCAAATTTCGAATATATTTATTCGCGCAACGTTTGATCAGCGTCATTTAATTAGAAATAAGAAATAACTTGTTTATCTCCTTCTCGGAAAATGAGAGGACTAAAAGGAGACAGAAAATCGATTAAACTAAGGTTGATGTTAATCGATGTTAATAGAACCGGCCTTGCAACTCGCGCGCGGGACGGAATTCGTCGACGATCGACCGAATTATAACTTGAACCTTGGTAAGAGAGACCGCCCGCGCGACCGGATGCCAAGCTTACTTAACGTAAGAAGATGTATGAGCCCAAAACGTGAGAGGCTGAAGAAGGAAGAGACTATTCGTGTGTACTTTAATTGTTTTATCATCACCGCGCCATCCACTTTCGTACCTCGCGCCCGCAACAGCCATCGCCGTTTTCTCGTTGCAACTCTGGCTATTATTTATCGTTACAACTCGATATCGCTGTGGAGTTACGTCGTTATTAACATAGTCGCGTTACGTTGTCTCGTTAATTATATTCTGTTATGCGTTTCGCATTTTGCCGAAAGTCACTATATATTAATACACGATTATATGAAACCGGACACACGCACTCACGCGCACCACACATATATATACACACACACACATACACACACACACACACACATAACACACACAAAACATACGTACACTTACATGCAGTCGTATAGATATAGCTGGCATTAATCGGCATCCTCCTTTGTCGCTGACCGACGCTGTAAAGTGACGCATCTGGCATGATTATAAATATATATACAGATATAAATATATAAATATATAAATATATATATATAGATATTATATAAATATAAACTATAAATATATTATATATGTAAGGATAAGCGAGCAACATTTATCTCGGGTGAAATCACCTAGGATGTGTCGAGACATTTAAGATGATGCACAGGGTATAGATGAGAATCGTTGATATAATAACTGATGTCTATATTATAGATGTTTCTTTCGTTCCATCATCGGCCTCAACATACACACACACACATACACAAACATAATATTGTACACACACAACACACACACACACACACAAAACTCACACACAAACAACACATATACACACACACAAACACGCATACATATAAACATACAGACACGATCGCGAGTCACGAGTACATACGATCGAAGTTTATTGTAGTAGATGTTTTTCAGAAATCCAATCCGATTCCGGACGGCGGCCAAGAATAATAGATGTCATCGGTGTGTTAGTCGCGCAACAACGTTCATCGATTCGCAATCGAAAAGATGAGGATTAATATACACATAACTCTGGCCGGTCGGTGCGACCGGCACATCCAACCGCACTACTAATTAATTGACTCTTCGATTAATCAAATTAACTAACTGATTGTAAATTGATCGCTCTATATTAAGGACTTTACTATTAAGTATAAATATATATTATACAGATATATAAAAGTGTGGATTCGCTGTTGAACGTGTCGAATTAAACAAAGCAAAAAAGAAAAAAAGAACAAAATCCGAGAGTTAAGTAAGCGAGTAAGAGAGCTTGGGCCGG